CACAACGGGGCCCTGATCTCGGCTGAGGTTTGTACAGCACCCGGCACAATGGGCCCACCCCCAGGCATTGCTATAATATAAATAATAATAATGGGGAGGCTTGTACTCACCATGGGACCAGGAGAACCATTCTCACCCGGTGATCCAGCTTCGCCCTAGAATGTAAGAGGCAAAGAGAATTAAGTCCCATCTTGCCCTTGTCCCCGATTCCTATAGAGAGGCAGAGTCAGTGCTCCAATGCTACAAACCCCCACCCTGATTCCCACGGGGGAGTCATGCAGGCGAAAGAAATCCCCATGAAATGACCACTGGGGTCCTCATGCCGCATCCATAGCTATAAACAGGGTGGACATACACACCTTGTCAGCACCAGCTCTCGCTGCTGGAAAGCGGGAAAGGGGGTGGGTGATTCTGCCAGGAGGGGTGGGATGTTCTAGGGGGTGCTGCTGAAGGGGGAGGGCATGGAAATGGATTACAGGGCGTCCATTAGGGAGGAGATGGATTAGATGCTACTGCTGGGGTGGGGCACTACTAGGAGAGCTATAAATGGGAACAACCTTGGGGGGGAAACACAGACGCTGCATTGAAGCCCATGGACACTGAAGCGGCTAAGGGAGATGCTTAGCGGGAAAGTGGAAGCAGGGTACCGGACTGTGGAGACAGCTTTCCTGCATGGCCAGCGGGGAGGGATAGACAATGAGCATCAGTAGATAGCACTAGTCACATTTCTCTCTGCTTCTAATATTGGCCCTGCCCATTTCATATTCCTGGCACCATCTTGTAGGGTTGAACGGAGCTGATCTCTAGTACTGAGATATTTATCAGATCAAAGGCCTTCAATTGATCGATCGATCTATCCATCCCCATTCACCCCCTCTAGCTATCTACCCCCAGAGACCCCCTCTATCTATCTATCTATCCATTCCCATACACCCCCTCTATTTATCTAATCTACCCATCCAACCCCATACACCCCCTCTATCTATCTACCCCCAGAGACCCCCTCTATCTATCTATCTCCAAACACCCCATCAATCTATCCATCCATTCCCATACACCCCCTTTATTTATCTAATCTACCCATCCATCCCCATACACTCCCTCTATCTAATCTATCTATCCATCCCTATACACCCCCTCTATCTAGCTATCCCCAGAGACCCCCTCTATCTATCCCCAAACACCCTGTCTATCTATCTATCCATCCATTCCCATACACCCCCTCTATTTATCTAATCTATCCATCCATCCCTATACACTCCCTCTATCTATCTACCCCCAGAGACCCCCTCTATCTATCCCCAAACACCACATCTATCTATCCATCCATTCCCATACACCCCCTTTATTTATCTAATCTATCCATCCATCCCCATACACTCCCTCTATCTAATCTATCTATCTATCCATCCCCATACACAAGACCCACATCTGTCTATCTATATCTATCCCCATACACAGAGTCATAGATTCGTAGCATTTAAAGCCAGAAGGGACCGTTAGATTATCTAGTCTGACCTGGAAATCACAGGCATTTCACCCATTTACCCCTCTGTTGAGAGCAATAACTTGTGTTTGACTAACGCACGTCTTTCAGGAAGGCATCTGGTCTTGAGTTAAAGACATGCTCGTCTATCTGTCTAATCTCAGGATCTATATTGATGTAGCTACTTGATTCCAGGTCTCTCATCTATCTATTCTATTCTGTCTAACCTGCCTTGAATTATCTATCTAGGTTTCTACACCGGGCCTATCACCCCAGCACCTGGCTGCCTCACAAAAAGGTGTTTGCCAGAAATGGGCTGAACACCAGGTACACTAGCTGAGTCACTCAGCCAACCCGAGTTCAAATCCTGATTCTGCTACTGCCTTCCTGTGTGACCGTGGGCAAGCACCTTTATCCCACCGGCTCTCCTTCTATTCAGCTCCTTGGGGCAGGTACTATCTTTCACTATGTTTTTATGCAGCGCCTAGCACAATGGGGCCCTGATCTCAAGTTTCCCCCTCTAGTCGCTACCGTAATGCATGTAATAAATAGCCATACTAATAACTTCCCAGTGATTGGTTTCGTTTCAGATGATAAAAACCGGAATCCTGTTGGCTAAACGCCTCACCTTAGCACCGGCAGCTCCTGCTTCTCCTTTGGAGCCGTCTAACCCAGGGTAACCCTAGGGAGAGAAGCAAAGTCGTGGTTACTCTCCCAGCGAACTCGAGCAAAAGGAAGAGACGATGCTGCGCAAGTCATAACCACACGTGCTTACTCTGTGACCTTTAATTCCTGGGAGACCTGGGGTTCCTGGGAAGCCTCGCGCACCCTGAAACGAAAGAAAGGGGGGTCAGTCCAAACGAAAGGCAGGGAATAGAGAGGGGGGCAAAAACCGATCAAGTTTCTCCAGTATGCTCAGATGTTATATTATTAACATGCTCCAGGAACAGGAGGTAAAGGATTCTTACTGTGCTTTGTTGATCAGGGTAACATATAGGGCCAGATTAGACTAACATATAGAATCAGATTATGGGGTAATATATAGAGCCATATTCCAGTAATATATAGGGCCGTGTAGAGTAATATAGAGAGCCAGATTAGGGTAACATATAGGGCCAGATCAGGGTCACGTATAGGACCATAATGGGTAATATGTAGAGCCAGAGCAGGGTAGTCTATAGGGCTAGACCCTCAGCGGGGTAAATCGAGGGAGCTAGGCCAACTTACACCATGGAGAATTGTCTGTGACGGGCTTGAACCAAAGCCCTGCATCTGAATTGCCGGGAACGTTGGGGAAGTTCAGAAGCCCACTGTCCCGATCATTAGTGGGCAGGGACTTAAATCCGAGTCTAGCCTTCGGTCTGAATTTTGCAGCCCTGAGCCCCCCTCTGGTGGTAACACCCTGACGTCTCTTTGGCAAAAATCATTCGGTTTTTTAATGGTTCATTTCCCCCAACTTCTCCTGGTTAAATAATAAAGGAGACAAGGGAGCTGGGCTGGTGACTGCGGCCTTCCTGCCATCCAGCCATGCCCCTGGGACGCATCGGTATCTACTGGACTTCAGAGCCTGGAGCCCTATACCTGAGGGCCAGGGGATCCGCGTTCACCAGATTTGCCGGGTTTGCCTGCTTCGCCCTGAGAGAGAAAGAGAGAGAAGAAAATCCCTTAGCTTCCTTCAGAGCCATCTTGGAGCAAGGCACAGCCTAGCAAGCAGCAGGGGGCAAAACCCTCTGCTCTGCTCACTGATGCCTTCCGTTTTGCACGCTGGCTGCTTGCCTTCCAGCCAGCTTTGATGTCAGTTGCTGGCAGAAGCTACCCTGCAAGAAACAAGTGGCTACAGAATACTTACATCATCACCGGGTTTTCCAGCGGGTCCGGGAGGCCCTCGGGGACCCATTGGACCCTAGAAGGACAGACAGAGCGAGTGTGACATGTGCAAGGCAGGCAGGACATTCAGAGAGAATCAGAACCTTTTTTAATTGCGTCACAACAATCTGTATCATCAAGGGAGTCTGGGGGCTTGGGGTCGTCACACGACGGGGCAAGAGGTAATTCGGCTAATGGGCTTCGAAGGCAACATTATCTCAAAGGGGAACTACAAATCACCTGCCTTTTCGCTGGGTCTGTGGGTTGGGGACTCCCAATATTCCGCACTGGGGCTAGGCAAAGAGTTATGGGGGAAGCTCGTGAACCCTTCCAAAAAAGACCGAATCATTCGGGCCCAGCTAAAACCAGCCTCCCTGGGAGCATGCGTATGGCAGACTCCAACATCACTCTCCATCTCAGAAGAGCCCAGGTTCTGGGAGTCCATCCCCGGGTTCAGGTGGCCAGAGAAAGCTGGCAAGGGAAGAAATTGGCCAGTAAGGCAGAGGAAGAGAGAGAAGTCCAGCTACTTTCCCAAGCGGCCTGTGCTCTGTGCCAGCCTGGGATGGTGTCGTGCTGTCATGTTTACATCACACTGCCGCATGGTGACATCACGCACTGGAAATATCAGGGTCGGGGCTTTGCTGAACTGGGCCACTGAGCCCAGGAGCGGGTTAGCTCTGTTCCCCCCACTACCCGGCCAGGAGCTGGAAATTTTCTCTGGAAATCTACAGCAGACAAGTGGCTCCTCCCAAATACCCTCTGCTTCCCTGGGCGGTGTGCAATAAACAGAGCCGTAAAACCTCTAGCTGTGAGACCTCCAAGGAAAGCTACGACTTCTGTAGGAAGCAGGATCAGTGAACCAGCAGAGGGGGCTCTTCTCTGTGCGTCAGCACTGAACCAACGGTGGGGCACCGTGTTGCCAGAGGTGCCCTGACGGGACCCAAGTGCAAAGTTCTCCCCATTAAAGACACTGCCATGTGTTTTGTTAGAGCAAGGTTGTAGACTGCAAATGGCAGCTCAGACTGCCTGCCTAAAGCCAAGCTCCTCTTGGAATGGATATTCCTTCATCCCAGTTTTGGACTCTACCCCGTAGCATTACCCCACTTAGCGCCAACTGGCTAGGGGTTTACGTAACCTACCTTCCAAAGACCCACCCCTGCCCTTGGAAGAAGATTCCACTGCCTGACCCATCTCACCGTCAGGAAGTTTCTCCTGACATTCATCCCAATTCTAACTCCCTCGTTAATTTCCTCTCATTGCTCCTCGTTGGGATAACCCCCTGGAGCAAGCTAAACGGGCCCGATCCTCGGCTGGTGTAACTCAAAGTTGGCATCCATGGAGATACATCGATATAAACTAGCTGCGGATCTGACCCCCGCGCACACTGATCTGAGGACAGCTGGTCCCACTTATGGAGTGTCTAAGTCAGAAGAAACAATACCACTATACTCATGGGACTGTTTTTATCTCCCTCTCCTTAGCTCTTGCTCAGCAAAGCTCTTTGAATCCTTTCTCTTAACCCAACGCCCCCTACACCCAATCGATCTTCTTTGAACTCCCTCCAATTTGCCGATAACGCTCAGCCCCCAACTGGGTAAAGTCATAATAGAGCACCGGTTCTCCTCTATTTCCATACCCCCCCCACATTGAACCGGGATCTACCTAGCCACCCCCACCCAACGAAGAATGGTTTGGCTTCAACCCTTTGGGCTGGCATAGAGCTCCTGGGCAAGTCACTCAGTCCAGAATCCTCAAAGGTGGGAAATCAATGGGAGTCTGGTGATCCTTTGAGGATTTGAGCCTTAGTTCTCAGTTCCGCAGCCGTAAAATGGGATTGACACCACTTCCCTACTTCAGAAGCTCAGAAGCTACCATGGTGGGGGCTGGATAAGTACCACGGATAGATCCACCTACTCCCTGCATTTAGCAAGGGCCGGGTGGGTCGTGACCCCCAGGTTAAGAACCATTGTGCGGAAGCATTCGAGAAGTGTTCTAATTTCTCTGCCCTAGGATGTCTCTGCAGATGCAGCTCCAAATGCATGGCCTGTTTGCGTTGCAAACGCCTGTCCAAATGGCTGGTTATCTTGCCTCTCTGTGTCTTTTAACGTGGTCAGTTCCTCCCTCCCCTGAGTTGGCTGGGACGAGGACTAAGGAGGGATGGGATGAAACTGAACAAGAGGAAAAATTCTGGTTGGAACATTAGAGGGGGGAAAATGTCCTGATAGTGAGATCTGCTATAGGATGCTTCCAGGGTAAGCAGTTGAAGCCCCACTGCTTGGCAGGACTGGAAAAAAACTGTTAGCGTAAAGAATGACCCAAAACAGGCTAGGGTGAGGAATGGATTAGATGATCCTTTACTGTGGTCCTTTGGAGCATTCCTACCCCATCCCTGCCCAATGGATTAGCATTTGTTCACGCTGCATCTTAGGTTGCTATTTTCCAGGCCTATCACAAATTTTTCCCGTTCCTGACTGTTGTTTGCAACTCTCCCAAATGTAGTCTCATCTCCCAGCCTCATTAATGGGCTGTTTGCCTCCCAGACCATTAATGCAGAGATTATACAGGACTGAATCTAACACCAAGCCCTGTGGTGCCCCACTATATAAATTACCCATGGTCATAGGTGCATAGGTAGGAAGGATAGCCTCGTGGGTAGGGCACTCAGCCATCCTGGAGGCAGGGGGTATCTATTCCCATCTCTGCTACAGACTCCCTGGGTGGCCTCGAGAAAGTCACTTAATCAACCCAGTGCCTCTGTTTCCCTGTCTTTAAAATCGGGAGTTATTTTTCTCTACCTGTTTTAGGATAACATCCATTAGTGTCTGTTAGGCTCCCAGGTGCTACAGTGATACCAGCACAGAGCCACATTGAGCGACGCCTTGCAGTCAGTTTTGCCGCTCCAAACCAATGTGAGACAGACACAGGATTAAATACCTAATTCCAGCATCTCCGTATATTACATTGACTGGGCTCCCCTGCTTCCTAGATCCTTCCCCCTGTCTCTCCCCATCACCATCGGAGCTGAGCCCCTTTGTCCTTTTGTCATCCTGCCATGCAAAGCGACCGACTGTGTCTGGACTTACAACTCCCCTCCCCCACCATCACTGCCACCAACCACGCAGCTTCTCCGGTGTACAGCGTCAGAGCACATCCTTGTCACGCCCTGTGCCCCTAAGATACACACACCAAGCCTGATTCTCATGGGCGCTAAGGCCCCTTTGCACCACCTGAGCAGTCCAAAGAAGCCTTAAAGTAGGAGTGAGCTAAATGGGCACCCACTTTATTGGCACCTTACATGGCCAGGGCAGTGTACAAGGTCTTTGTGTGAGTCAGAATCTGTCCCATTAATTCTGTTTCCTTTCTATTCATCACATTGTTCATCATCCTCCTGTGCCTAAAGCCGAGGCTTGAGATTTTTCAAATCCACCGCCAGGAATTAGAAGCCCAATCCCCATTAGTTATCCTGGGAACTGCGCATCCAAATCTCTTAGGCCCCTTTGAACACCTCGGCCTACGTCTCTAATCTAAGCACTTTCTCGGTCGATCACCCCGGCTTTGATTATCAGTGATATCATAGCGGAGACGCAAAGAAGGGTGAATTTCTGCTCAGAGAAGTTGGCATCGGGGTCTCTTGGTGGAAAGACCTTTTGGAATTCCTCAGGGCAGCTTTAATGTAGGGCTCACGTTTCTGGGACGTTTGCGGGTGCAGCTGGGGTGTTGGCTGTTTGCATGGGTAACTGAGGTGTCAATTTGTGCCGTGTCACGGCCTCTTTGGCCAAAAGCGAAGGTGCTGGTTACTCACAGAAGATCCAGGTTCCCCAGGCTCTCCAGGGTTGCCTTGAAATCCTTGAGGGCCCTGCAACATACAGCAAAGGAGCCTCGTTAGCCATCTCAAGAATGATGCTCTATATATTCGCTATGTTATTTTACCCCCAGCGAGACAGATTGCTCCAGAAAGAGCAGGTACTTACAGGAGCTCCCGATGGTCCCGGAGGTCCTCGCGGTCCCATAGGTCCCTACATTGGGAAACAAAAATCACCGTCATTAAGAAAATCTCTAAGCCCTCCGCAGTGAAAGGGGGCGAGCGGTTTCAGCTGATGGCCCATAAAGAACAAGGAACTTTCCCCCTCGGCAAGAGAATATTCTGAAATCGTCCCTTTTGTTTTCAGCCCCTCCGGAGACATCACCAAGAACGATTTTTCCTTTAGAAGCTACTTGGAAAGGGGGAAAAAAAAAAAAAGCAGCATGCTTTCTCCTGGACCGTAGCCATGTTTACTAAGCCCTGCTTTTCATTTACTGCTTGCCAAGAAAGGCTGGAGAGCAGAAATTTCCTGCTGGAAATCTTGTGGGATCTTGAAGAACAGTAGCTGCTGTCATGCATTCCTCAGCCCATGGTCCAAAAGTTACAGAGACCAACCCCTAAACAAAACGTTCTATAACTTTCCCTCCCGGGAGAGTCTATTTAAACAATTTGGCGTGTGACTTGGGATGCCCTGGCAAGCAGAGCAGAAGCAGAAGCAATTAAGTCATCTTGGTGCTAAGTAAATCCTTGGTTATGCAACCGTTTTATAGTAATTTTAGTGTGTTGTGGCTGGGACGATAGGGGCAGAATCTCGGTGGGTGAAATTCAGCGTGGACTTTGATGGAGCTGTGCTGAATTCCTACAGCTGAGGATCTGGCTCATAGATAATATCAAGCTGTGATTTCATGGCCGGATTTTTCAAGTTGCTGAGCAACCCCCAGCGCCTGTCAACTTCAACCCTAAATATCAGGCCTCCCACAAAGAGTGTCCCAGTTGCTAAAAGGAAGCAGAGAGCTATCTTACCATAGGTCCCTGCATCACACCCATCTGAGCGCCACCAGCCTTCTCATCGAATCCTCCCGCCATCTGAGCAGCAAAGTTCTGCAAACAAGACCAAAGCACAGACCCATCTGAGTGGGATTCTGGTTCATGATCAGTCAAGCCATGCGATGGGCATGCGGGCTGCAAAGTGATCACAACTACTGATATCCTAAAAGTTTTTGGTAAAGTATTAATATTGGTAAAGTATTTGGATCCATTAGGGAAAACAGACAAGCCAGTGTAACCTGATAAGCAATAAACCAGCGAACCAAACGTTCCCTGTAGCTGATAAGCAACCATTTCCACATCTCAGAAAAAATCAAAATGAGGCTTTTTAGACCTGTTATTTGCTAGACATCGATTTGTAGTAAATATGCAAAATGTTCCGACATTTCATTTTAAATTTCCTAAGGGTTATTACTTCAGGGTCAGCCTTTTTATCTGGTGATATTTCGAGGGGAGAACTTCCTTTGAAGAGTAAGAAAAAAATCATTTAAAATGGCCAAACGATTTCAGTACCGTCATTTGCTCTGATTATGTTTTGCTTCTAACAGAGACAGCGAAGGGCACTTTCCAAAAACAGAAATCATTCAGTGTAGTTTTTTATTTTTTTAAAGAAACTGCCCAACAGTTCCTCATAAATCTGGAGTGATTCATTCATCTGAAAGACTAGGAGTTTAGAAAACTCAGGCACAGTGAATCTAAACATAGTGAACAGCATTTGAGGTAATTAAAATGTGCCTTTCAATGGGGCACCATTAAGTTAAATTTGCACCAAACAATAAGCTTGGTCTTGTACAAGGTAAGACCAACAGAAATGTTTCCTTGGATTTTTAAGCTATCACCATGTGGTATCTACCTGCCCCCCTACCCCTCCACACTGCAGGGTTGGGCTAGTGCATGGGAATCACTGAGTAAAATTGACCAGGAACAGAAGTGAAGTACTAAAAGATTCCCTTGTGGTATTTGTAGCCTTGGGCTACCTCATGAAAGCAACAGACTAGGAACATTAGTGAAACTTTAAATATTCCCATGCAATGTTTGCTCCCACTCGCTGCAGCTGTGGGCTAGTGCAAAGGGCACCCTAGAGTGAAACTGACCAGGGACAGTGGTGAAATTGACTTGTGAGCCAGTGAAATGCTAGAGCAATAAAGGCCTTTATTACTGGATGTCTGCACAGTGTCTAACAGCGGGGGTGGGGGCTCAGTAGCTGCAAAACAAATAACTAATGGGGAGGAAGCAAGTTAGATGATAAAAAGTCTTGCATTCTGAATAATCGAAAATGTTGTTATTTAATTTTTCATAGGAGCCCTAAAATGACATAATTAGTCCTATCGAATCAGTGACTCCAGCTGAATTATACAGTATCGGGACACACTCAAAAGGCCCTTTCAATCAGTCTGTGCAGCCACATGTCCTGGATGTGAAGGTTCAAAAACAAACAAACAAAAAAAACAACCTGAGGATACTCACTCCGCCAAGCCCAGGGGGCCCTGGGGGACCCACGAGCCCTGGGGGTCCGGGGTTTCCAGGGGTACCAGGTTCGCCATCTCTACCCCGAGGGCCAGGAGGACCCTACAAGGAACAAAGAAGAAAGGTGACTCCAGACAGACACCCAGGAAAAGCTAATTACAGTCTGCGCCCTGATGTGACATGAGTCCTTGGAATGCAAAAGGCTCCCAGTGTATATTATTAATTCCATATCATTTGATTATTTGTAATCAATTATTAATTCTATATGCTCCATTATTGTTATGCATTAAGTATAATTATGAATACAGAGTGGTGCCCTATTCATCGGGATGTCAATGGCCCACAGTGTGTGTTAATTACACATCATTAATTATTATTAATAACTTATTATCAATGACAGATTACCAGTCATTAAGGACTGAGCATCCTTATTAGTCATACAGAGTGGTGCTTTATTCATCTGAATGTAGGCAACTCACAGCATATAGTAATCATTTTACACATTAATTACATTAATTAATACCACTGTTATGGAGCTTAGTTATTGTTAATATAGCACCGTAATGGAACCGTGGTGCTTTAGATATACAGGGTCCCGGTCCATGACTGAGTCCCCTAGACATCATCCTCATCACAGATGGCAAATTCTCTGCCCCGATGAGATTACAGTTTAATCTGAAAGACTATTATTCAGGTGTGAAGAGGCAGTAATATTAAGAAGGGATGTGTCACACTGATGCTTTTGGAAGTATTTTAACCCCCGGTTTGTTTTGTTTTGTGCTCCGTGTTGGTTGTTTTGTCTTAAACTCACTTTTTCTCCTTTATTCCCACGGTCGCCCCTTGGTCCTTGTTCCCCTGCAGGTCCCTGAAACAGGTGAGACAAGAGGAGTTCAATAGTCTCCAATGTTTTGCCCACAAACATTCAAACAATGTGATAGAGAAAGGAAGCTCCTCACCTGTGGTCCAGGTGGTCCTCTTGGTCCTACGACCTGGGTGGGAGAGAGAAACATAGGAAAACTCAGCTGAGAAGGAAGCTCACACGGGAGTCTCTCACCGCACCCTACACGCCACTATGGGAAAGAAATGAATGGAGGACGTGCAGAAAACTCAGATTCAAACTTACATCTTTAATATCACCGGGTTCCCCTTTTTGTCCCTGCAATGCAAAGCAGCTGGAATTAGAACACTGACAATTCTGCACACAATTGATGTATGCGATTATACATCCCACCCCCTGCCTAGCCCATTGCTAGACCCGTCACAGAAATGCAGATAATCCCCATCCAGTGTGTCTGCCCAATCCTGCAAAGAACTGAGCAGAGCACTTCAGCGCGCTCTGCGCTTTAAGCACATGAGTAACTGTCCCACTATCCATATGGGAATAAGCTATACCGTATAACTGCATCCACACTGCCGGGTGGCACCGCTTTAACTAGACCGGTGTAATTAAAATGGTACAACTTGTGTGTCTATCTGGAGTCTAATTCTGTTTCACTTCCACCAGCCTTACACTGGTGTCACGCCATTGACTCCGGTGGAGTCACTCCTCATTGACAACAGTGTAAACTGAGACCAGAATCCGGAACGCTACACCCATGGAACTGTAATAAAGGCCAAAGAAGGAAAAATGTCCCGGTAGTCATGATGAACAATACTAACAATGATCTCACCTTGGGGCCAGGTTGCCCTGTTGAAATGAGAGAGAGAAAGTGTCAGCATCATGAGGAAACCCATCATTTAAGCACACAAAGATGCACACGACAAGGCCTTGGATAAGACGCCAGGGAGGGATGTGGTTGGGGTAACGTCAGTTTCTCCTCTACACCCAACTGCCTGAGTATTGCTGTCACTGCTCTGCTGGAGGGGTGGTAAACTGGCCAGCATTTCACATAGACAGGCAAGGCTTCATGCAAAGCATTGTGGGATAATAGGCTTCCGCATGGCTAATGGCAGGTGGCGAAAATTTCAGGTCTATGGTGGGCTAAGCACTTTGCCCTCCCAGAAATGACCGGGGCATGGTTATGAAGCAGCCAAAGAATAATGCACTCAGACAAAAAAGTAGGTTAAAAAAAAACCCCCACCAAAAACAAGGAAAAGACCCAAAAAAGCAGGCGTTAAAAGCTACGTTCAGCACAGGTCCAAATCAACATGATTGCCTTTCAGGGGAAAATGTTAACATTTGCTCTCAACCCTTCGCTGACACTTGCAGGCTCGAAAGCATTTCCTAATTAAAGAGGAGGGCGCAAGGGGGGCATTGGAAAGGTAGCCTGTATCAGCAAAGGGTTAAAAAAGGCGACTTCTGCTTTTGATGGAACTAGAACAGAGAAGGTCCTCGAAACAGTGGCACTGAAATAGCTACTGGGCTCAGCTGAGGATCTCAAAACACTTCACAAATGGGAGTGAATTATGCCCCAGGCTGGGGGAGTTTTATTACCCATCCCCATTTCGCAGCTAAGGAAACTGAACATTGCACGGTGAGTTTTTTACAAAGTCAGGCACAGAACTCTGACCTACATGGAGGCCTGGCCTCTCCTTTGTCTCTCAGGACCACCCATGACCCCCTTGAACTTGGGAGTTCTTACATAACTTGGGCTCAAGGTCATTTTGGAGGAAGTATTAAAATTAAAAGAAAAGGCGTTTTGATCTTTGCTAGTACCAGAAGGCATGTTTTTATATCACAGCAAGATTTCCAAAGCCTTTATTCTAGGGGTTATTCCTATTCAGCTCACCCTGCAATTTCTGACCCCGGTGTAGTGGTTAAATACTAAGAAACCAAACCAAAAAAGAAAAAATCCCATGCACTATGTACTTAGCACTGTCCAGTTTCCGCCTTCATGGCTTAGAAATCTGCGGACTGTGGATTTAAATAAGGCTTCTCTGGTGCAGAGAGACTTGATTCACCGTCAGGGCAGAGACAGCTTTGGTGCTGTCTTGCCGCCTTGGTAATGACTACGATATCTTTAGACTCGGGGCTGTTGGACTAATTGATTATGTTAATTATCTTTCTTCTCATCTGTGATTTGACCAAACTGTTATTTCAGACCTTCTACAGCCTAGGCAAAGAGACAGACCCAACTGAGTCCATGAGAAGTGGCCTTTCCTAGCGAGGTCTCATGGATGTCCCCGTCTTTTGCTGGGTGCTCATCCATTGGGGGCTATCGATCTTTGCAATTATCTCGAGTAATTTATTTATGGAAGGGAAATAAATAAATTACGACCGCTGACAGCAGGTTGGTCAGTTGGGCAGATAGGGCAGCATTCTCCGAAGGGGATCTCGGGGCTGGGACAGTCTCTCATTTCTTCGCAGATTATCTCGTCGCAGAGGATAGTCCCAGTGTCACAGACACAGATCCGGCAGGGCTCAGGTTTCCACACATCCTTATCACTATACCTCTGCCCATGCTGCACACAGCTGCCTGCCTCCTCTGTGCCGAAGGGAAAGGAAGGGAAGGGGGGAAATGAGACGCGGTGGGAGGGGAGGCAAAAAGGAGAAAACCAAAAGGGGGAGAGAGAGAGAAACAGGGTCATACCATCAGCATCGGTTACAGCAATCCCATAGCAATTGCAATAGGGCATAGAAATAACCTCCCACATTCACGGTCCAAGCCAGCTCCCTGCCAGCTCCCGGGCGGGATGGTTCTGGTTCTCCCATCTTCCTTAGACATCTCACAGATTAGTACATGGAGCTCTTGGCCACTCCAGAGGCAGAGCAAAACAAAGAGGCCTGATCATAGCTCTTCGGCCTCCGCAAGAGGATACTATGAGGAAGAACTGTCCTAAAGGCCCAGGGCCCTTCTGCTGTTGACGCAGCTGTAAGGTTCAAGGCTTCCCACCTGGCACTTTCTTAATTTCCCATCCCTGTCACTTTCGCTGAGCGAAACTGACGACGCAGCTGTGCCTGTGAGTCAGGTAGAGTTTGTAGCAGCCACAAGCCATGTCCACTGTGGTCACACTCAGCTCAGCCCTCTTGTGCCTCCTTCACAAACCCCCTGTGTCTCTTTTCTACAGGGGCCTGTGCGCTTTCCCAGCACACCAGGCCTGAACTGGGTTTCACACTAGTTCGACACTGGTGTCATTCCATTGGCTCCACTAGGGTTACTCTGGATTTACACCAGTGCAGATAGGCAGGAGAATCAAGTCTGGATTCCCTTTCTTGGAGCTGCCAGAAGGGGCAGGGTTACACCAGTCCACTTTGTTTAACCTCATTCACCAGAAAAAAAATATAACTGGGGAAAAGGTGGAGAGAAAAGTAACAAAGAAGGTTCTTTAAATGCCCCCTGGCCGCGTCTGGAATGCACACTGCAGACCGAACCCTGTGATGAACAAACAGCTCTGGCTCAGTCTCTCCAGGAAAAGGCTGTTTTTCTAATCAAAACACCATCAAAGAAAAACAAACTGAATCAAAGTGAAACCTATGAATGGGCCAAGGAGCCCGGGAGGGCGACGGGGGAGAATGGCTGCAGCCATGGGGGGCGCTTGGGGGGGGAGCCACAAAAAATGCAAAAGGAACAAGCATCCAACTGCCGTTGGGAAAGTTCATTATAATATTATTCCAGTTATAACAGCTCAATAGAAAGGGTTCTTGATAAGGGGAGACCCATAAAAAATATAAGTGCCTCTTTGACATCTGTTTCTCTCCCCCCCACCCCCATCCAAGTGAATGTCTGAAGCAGTTGAGATGACAGGGGGGGTCTTTGTGCAGGGAGCTGGGGCACCTTGGGGAGCCCAGGGGACCCTTCCTCTCATGAATGGGCCTTTTCTCGAGCACACACAGAGCTCAATTCACGTTGCGCTGTTAGGAACCCATTTAAATAAATAAGGGCAGCATTTCAACTCCATCTGGAAGCGATCGCTGCCAATCTCCCCTATGCAAACAAACTGCTCACAATGGGGAATTGAGTTCCCTCCATGACCTGGAGAAAACTTTTGCAGATGAGCCTCCCAAACGAGCTAACGCCATCTGAGCAGAAAATAAGTTCCTCTCCTGGGAAACCGGGTGCGTCTTTGCTTTAGAGAAGAATAAAGCACGAGGCGTGCTCGGTTATGCACTTTCCTTGTGCTGAAACACCTGAGGAATCCGAGCACATGCTGAAGGATGCTAAACATACTTTAAACTAAACTAGAGAGGGCAGACAAGGCGGGAGATGGCAGCTTAAAGGAACCACACTGCTAAGTTTCGGTGTACAATCAATTTTCCTGCGGGGAGATCATCCTTTTACAGCAGACGTAGGAGAGAATTCATTAACCGATCAGCATCATTTTACCAGGAATAGGAAAAGGAAACAGAATCACCCGTTGCTACAAATAGACTGATTCCCAAAGTGCAGCCTTCAACTTCTGAGGTCTCTTGGGGTGTATGTGGCGTAGGTGCTGGAGATAGGGGTGCTGCTGCACCCCCGGCTTGAAGTGGTTTCCATCCTATCCAGGGTTTACAGTTTGGTTCAATGGCTCTCAGCACCCCCACTATACAAATTGTTCCAGCCTCCCTGGTGTGTGGTCGGATGGAGGTGTCTCACTGGGAAATCCTACAAATCCAATCCTTTTGTTACGAACTAAGCAAATTGAAAACGGCCTAGCAACTCCTTTGCGCCTGAATGGGAGGAATTTCAGCTCCTTTTTTGCTGGAATCTCAGGCTGGTTGTGGGAAAGACAGCATGGCCCAGAAGCAGGCGAGCAAGGAGGCATTTTCAGGCACTCTCTCTCCCCCTGCAATTGATTTACAGTCTGGAGCATATGGAGACAGGGATGGAATTCAAGCAATAGGAAACCTGCCCAAACAAGTGGGGGAAAAAATCCTTTCTACCTAATAAAGTTTCCAGCTTCCAGGCTGAATAATATGCCAGACCAGAAATTTTTCTGGGGTAGGGGGAAGGGCTGGCTGTGCAGTGGACTTTAATGTCACATCCTGCAGCTATTGCACAAGATGATCATTTTGTTTTTTAAAAAAATGGTAAAATGTTGGGGGGCAGGGAGTGGGAATGAACTCCCCCACGTGTCCCCTTGCTTTCCTCTTTGGGTTCAGATTTGGGGGAGGGGGTTGGAGGGTGAAGGAGAAGTTGGACAATCTATCTAGTGTGTCTGGCATGTCTCTCATCCTCCAGGTGGCCTCCTCTAGGGGGGGAATTTTCTTTCTGATCCTTAAACAAAAAGTCTGTTAGCTATCAACTTCTTCTGCACCTTACTCACCAGCCCCAACTGAGAAGTGGGTTGGGGTGGGGAGGAAAGTTAAAGGCTGTACAAAGGTCTTTCTTTGTAAGTCTCAGACTCTGGCTTGTCTGTCTCGGAATGTCCCCTTTGTCTGGCTCCCCCGGTGAACCCCCCCATCCCACTCAGCTTTGTTGCATTAACTCTTTCACTGCTGCAGGAGGCGGAGAGATATTTTGTTCTCCCTTTGGTGGGTTCTGATCCGACCGGGTTATATTTGCCTCTGAACGCCCCTTTCAGGGTGGAAATCAACTCAAGGAAGGGGATGAAAGCCGAAATAATACACAGGAGGGGATTCACGACTGCAATGCTCTTCGAAAGCAACCATGCATTACAACAAATAGGAACACGCTTCTTCACCAATCAGTATTTTGTCATTGCTCAACAGTGAGCCTCGTCCAGTGTCCAGAATCCAGAGAAGGTACAAAGTGGGAGAAAAGGCAGATCTAAAGAGGAGCAACGGAAAACACTAAGCTCAGGATCAAATACCAGGAGAACATGAGGCCAGTTTTCCAGATCTTAAGGTACTTATCTTTTCAAGCCACTTCTCCCAGGTCTGCAACACTTGCTCCTACCACCCCATCTTTCCCTCCCAGAAGCAGCGATTTCTCTCTGTGTGTCGCTCTTTCTTCCATAGCTTCTGTGTCGAATTCCCCCCCCTCCCCCTCTCAGGATCAATTTTAAAGAAGAAAAAGGTGCAACTTACGGATATCCTCATCCTGACATCTGACAACGGCTAGTAAAATGACCTGGGTGGCTGCGAGCAGCACTACAGTCCTTGAAGTCACAAAGCTGAACATGTCTAAATGTTAGACATGCAGGACCTTTGTGTGTGGAGGAGAGAAAAGGGAGGAGGTTGGTTTCCCCAGTGACTACCGAGCCTTCATGCAGTCGATTCCCCCTTATTTTTTGGAAACAGCAGGAGAATCCAAGGTACCTAGGCCCCAGCAGAATCTCGGCGCCGTCTGCTCTGGGCCAAGGCACAGCAGTTAGATGGCCCCTCTGCCTTCTAGGAGCCGGTGTATATGCCCAGATCTCAGTCCTCCCCCTGCCCCCCAGCTGCGCTGTAACCTGAGCCCCGAGCCCCGTCCCCAGGGCTGGAGACCCCTCCTCCTGCCAGCGCTTCAGTGCAGCCCTGGAGCCAAAGGGGGCACGAAGTTAGGGAGGGAAAGGAAAGGGAGGGGAGGGTCCTACCTACCCCACCTCCTCCCCGAGGAGGCGCGGCGGGCAGCGCGGTGTCTCTCCAGACGCACGCAGGGATGGGGCAGGGAGAGCGGCTCCTGTCCCTCTCCAAAGCGCCGCGCCGCGGATGAAGTTTTCCCAAGCTCCCCAAAGGCGCCCGGCGCGCCGCGGGGGAGGCAGCGGGGGGCCAGGAAAAGCCCCGCTCCGGGGAGGACGCGCAGCTGGGAGAGGAGAAGTTTCCGCCGAGGTTTCCCGGGCCCGTGCGGTGCCGCGGAGAGCGGAGGATGCGGAGCCACTGGTGCGCGGCTGGAGCTCGGAGGGGTCTTCGGCCTCCCTCCCGGCTCCGGCATCTGCACCGGGGCGCGGGGCATCTTTCCGGGGGAACGTTCCGCTCTCCAGCACCCCCGCCCCGCTGCCAGTCAATCCGGTGTCACTCCGTTCGTTCCAGGGCAGAGGCTCCGGAGTGACACCGGTGCGACTGAGTTCACAGCCTGGCCTTTTCGTCCCGCTATGTCCCAGCCCACCCCACGCCCCCCCCCCCCCTCTTCCTTCGCAGCCCAGACCCTGGCTCCCTCTGCTCCCCCCTTCCAGCCCGGCTCCCGGACCTTCTGCCCTCCCCAGCTCTCAAGCTCCCCCACTCCCCTGTCCAGTACTCCGCAGGTGGCGTGGTTTCTGGAGGTGATTTGCAAACGGTGGCGGGGAGATAAGGGAAGGGGATTAACCCGAAATCCCTGGCATCAGGCTCCAGAAATCCCCTTCTCCGCCCCCCAAAGCTAAGGCACCCAAGCTGCAGGGTTTGGGAATCCTGCCCCCTACCCCCTGCTTGTCCCCAGCCTAGTAAACGCTGGTCCCATCGGCTGGGGAAAGGGGAGGGGGGGCGAGGAAAGAGAAGACCCCCGCATGCCCCCGCTTTCAGGTCCGGGCATCTCCTTCTCCAGCCCCCGGGGGAGCTGAGCATCCAGGGCTGGGCCAGCCGCAGGGGCCGTGGTCCTGCAGGAGGATGGAGGGGGGGAGGCTATGGAAAGGGATGGGTGAGAGAGGAGGGGGGGCGACTTTCCCCTTGCTCCCCTGCTCCGTTCTCTTGCTCGGATGGCGCGGATCCCAAAGCTTTAATCCCGGGGAAACTGGGGGAGCGAGGGTGGGTGCGTAGGGCTTTTGCAACCTTTAGCAGCGCTGGAGAGGGATGGGGTTGCGCTGTGCTTTGCAAATACTAGTACAGCGCGGGGGGGGGGAGGCTCTGATTTGCAACGCCTAGCACATCCTAGGGGAGTTCCCCGGGTTGCAAACCCTTGGGGCTGAGGGACAGAGAGGTGCTGGCTTCTTCCTGGCCGCCAGTCAGCTGCATTCAGGCCCCGATTCAGCAACCGACTGAAGCACGTGCTTCTCGGTTCGCTCCCAGGCTCCCCGTGAAGCACCTGCCTTCCGGAATGGGCGGCGGCTTCTCCCCAAGCCCCGCCCGGATGTGCAAAGAGAGGCCGAGCCCCCAGCACGCCCTTGCCCCCGTCCCGCCGCCCCTGCTGCTGCAGCTCCTCTGCCACGTGCGCACATGCCGCGTCCCCCGGCCCGGCGCTGTACGTGCGCGCGTGGGTGTCCCGGGAAGTCTCCAGGCTGCTGCAGGGACAGAGCTGGGCGCACGCTGCACCGACTGGGCAAAGGCTGACACTTGGGGGTGGGCGGGGCGGGGGGAGTTGCACCACTCTCCCCAGCCAATAGCAAGCTGAGGCTCAGAGCACCCATTGGCGAAGGCTCCCATCGTGGGTGGAGCCTGGCCACCTTTAAAAGGCGCTGCCCACGCCCTAGTGCTCAGAGCAAAGCCACTGAGCCCAGTCACTCCGCTCCTGGGATTCCTCTCTGGCCAGGGGTCCTGGCAGCTAAAAGGGGAACCGGCAACATTGCGCAGCGGCCAAGCGTTGCCCCTCTCCATTGGTGGCATTTTATGCAGATTATACGCTGCTTTGATTTGCATATCGTTTGCCTAGGTCCACAAACTTCTGCTTACAAATAGTGTGGCTTCAGCTGTGCTGAAAGGCAGCCCTGGTTGAATGAGGTCCTCTGTTTACAGGACAGCAGCTAGGTAAGCTACCCACACACACTGCAGTGACTTTGAAATCCTGCAGACTGTACATCGCCAAGACCCATCTCTGAACACCAGTTAATGTCAAAGGCTGCGGCCCTCCCTTTATCCAAAGATTTTCCTAGGACAGCTTTCAGAGGGGTAGCCGTGTTAGTCTGTATCAGCAAAAACAACGAGGAGTCCTTGTGGCACCTTAGAGACTAACACATTTATTTGGGGACACATTTGTTAGTCTCTAAGGTGCCACAAGGACTCCTCATTGTTTTTCCTAGAACAGTTCCTCTTGGTTAATCAGAATGAGCTGGGTGTTTCCCTTTAAGCTATGCAACATGGCGGTTGTCCTCTGTCTTTTTTTTCTAGGCATCTTTTGGGTGTGGAATGGAAATAACTATAGGATTGCTTACCTCTGGAAAATAAATTAGGCCATGAAAAGATCAGCAATTGTGCATTTGTGCTTTACAGGGAAAGTGCAAAGTCAAAAGGGCTAAAGACCACTTTTTTACTCGGGTGGCCCTGACAGATCATTCAAGGAGCTATTTCTCCTGGGTGCTGTCTTGCTGCACCACAGTTAAGGTTAAAACAGTTTCTGCTGAAATCGGAATTCCCAAAGAGCTCGCAAATCCAAATGCATCATCAGATTGGCTTGAAAATTGCTATGCCATTTGAGGGCCTGATGGGGAGTTGAGGGGGTGGATTAACCTGGGGATTCCCAAGATACAGACCCTCCAAAAATGACCATAACCATTTTTCCCCCCATAGCTAGGGAAAGGATTGGGGGCTCAGTCATATAAAAGAGAGGTTGCTGGACTCATCTAGTGCCTGACACCAGTGCCATCCTCAAAACCCAATAACTGAAAAGATCAATCACATGCAACTTGGATTTTCTTTAGTTTCCAACACAGAGACTTTGAATTGTTAGCTTGGAGTTAACAGTAGCTCCAGAATCAACATGGACAAGGAGCTGCTTTTCTAAAGTTGTTCTTAACAAAGCCCTTTATTTTAATACATTGAGAGAGTTTCCACCATCTCTGTCTCTGCAGAGCTATCTGCATTGCTTTGGGGGGTTTTCCCCCCTACAAGCAATAAATGGTAGATTTAAGGAATTTAGACCTGAATTATTTCACAATAAAGGAGCACAGGTGAATTTTCGAAGGTGGCCAGACATTATTTTGGGTGCGGTGAAAATGGGGACTTGTCAAAGCTGGATGCAAAAACTCCACTATTATGGGCATCCCTGGCATAACGTCAAAGCCCACTAAGTTGCTTAAAAATGTCTCAGTTTCCTTGCCCTCAGTCAAGACACTCTAGAAATCTTTGCATAGGACGACAGCCGCATCAGCCCCCGAACGGAGAGAACAGGCTCGTAAATAGGAGTGGGGGAGCGCGGTGTGTTTCCAAGATCAGTGGCTGCAGAATAGGGTTTGCCCTGGCAAGATTCCACAGCATAGCTCTTGCTCCCTGCTCAGTGATGTTCCAAGGTATCAAAGCAGCTCATAGTGATCAACCACCCTTCCAGACTCCTCTTGCACGGGCAATCTCACTACATCCACGTGATAATTATTACAGTATTTCTCTGACAGTGTTGTCTAAAGGGCCCGGAGAAGAGCAGGGCCCCCCATTGTGCTGGGCACAGTAAAGAGACAGTTCCCGCCCTGAAGAGCTTATAATTGATGTGTTTTGATGCATTTGTCTTTTGTAGCTTGAGCCTGATCTAATCAATGCCTATTGGGATCATTGCTTAAGGAGGTTTTAAATTAAGCGGTGCATAAATCTAGTGCTGCCTCCTGTCTTCACAGGGTAGAACTGCACCCTCTGAAATCAATATTCTCAGCTCAGGTTTATCACAATTACTACTGAGACGCTGGATAACCAGAGAGGGGTTAAAAAGAAATCAAGGCTACTTTTTCCTTATGCAAAGCTGCTGGAGACAGTGTAACTTGCCGTGAAACAATATATCTGTGCTCTGTGCCTTATCATCAAAGGCCCAGGGGAGATTCAATGAAACTGAAAGGTGGCAGATTTAACACCGATCAAAGGAAAACTAGATAAGTTTATGAATGATAAAATTGGAGATATCCTATTTCCTAGAACTGGAAGGGACCTTGAAAGGTCATTGAGTCCAGCCCCTGCCTTCACTAGCAGGACCAAGTACTGATTTGGCCCCAGATCCCTAAGCGGCCCCCTCAAGGATTGAGCTCACAACCCTGGGTTTAGCAGGCCAATGCTCAAACCACTGAGCTATCCCTCTCCCCAAAAATGATGGCGTTCCCTGCAATAGCAGCGGACTGTACTCAATATCCCTTCCAGGCCTATGTGCCAGTGAAATACTTTTCGATGCGATGCATAATTAGACTGCAGAACCCATTGCCACGAGATTTCACTCAGACAGGGTTCCCAGAGGGACTGAACATTTATAGTGTTCCCAGGAAAACCCAGCATTTTAATAGTTAATGCTAACGAACTGCTTCGGGGCTTAACATGTACTCTATTAGCTGCGTTTGCCAAATTGAAGTGTTTAAAAAATCATGGTTGGACCCTCCAAAATCACAAAGTTAGCTTATAAATCATGAGATTTCTCTTTTTTTTTAAAGAAAAAAAATTGCATTATTTTTATTCATCGGTTGGTTTCTCAACCTTTAGGAGGCTCTCACTTCATGTTGGCAAGCCTGCAACCATGAGGGCTAGAAACATGCTAGTTTAAAAAAAAAATGAAAGCCGAGAGTCTCACCTAATCCCATGCATCCAG